TTTCTCAAATATTTGGTAAGTAACATAATCTCCTTTCTCATAGAAATTTTAAATGAAAATTAAGAAATTATGAATTATCTTCCTCCATGCATGGTTTTTGTTAAACGTCTTCAAGTTTATTTTTTTAAGGATTAAATGCCTTATATTCTCCTACAATAGTAGCAAGATTTAATTTACCCCCCCCCCCCCCCCCCCCCCCCCCCCTCCCCCCCCGTGATTCCCCCTCAACATTTCCAAATTCCATCTGAAAAAACCTTGATGCAGATTTTTGTCCAATATTCGGTCTATTTGACCTACGTGACCAATTCAATGTGGCTGACTGTAAACAAGTTGCCATGTTGGACCTTGTATAATCTAGAAATTATCTCAAAAAGCAATTTTTAGTGAGATTCAAACCCAAGAACATCCCCATAAAGGCCAAACACCCAACCACTAGACCATCAACTTTTATTTGTAAACAAATTCCCTCAAATTGTATTTATATTTGTAAATACTATTTAAAAGTGCCCACACTTGTTAAACTAAGCCTCCTAGCTGCATACTTAATTAATTAATACTCATAACCCCTGTTTGTTTATGTGTTCAACTAAGCCTTCTAGCCGCATATTTTACCAACTAATATTTTTGTTTTTTTTTGTAACAACAAAATTTAGAAGAGTAATATTTTTTCTTTCTCAATATTTTAAAATGACTTTAGTAAATTTATATTTTGCTTTATGACCTCCTTTGCATTTTGTTCCTCTCAGTGCTAGAAAGACTATTGGTGGATTACCCGAAAGCATTGCACCATGTCTGCAGCTGCCACATATCAATGAGACTGTTATTAAGAAGGTGGCCCATAAGGTGTGTGAATTGACTAATAGCATTTTTCCATGCTATTTCTTGTGTAGTTACATCTCTAAAGATCACGAGGGTTAACATGCAAACCTTTTATACACATTTTTCTATGGAATCCAATTGTAGCTAGTTAGTTAGCTACTCATTGGATCCAATTCAATATAAATTTGATTTATACCAAGTGTTCTATAGCATCAATACATACTAAAAGTTAGGGGTGTTCAAATCCAAACCAATCCAAATAAAAAACCGAAAACCGATCCAAAAAACCGAAAACCATAAAAAACCAAAAGTTATTGGTTGTGTTTGGATGTTATTTTATAAAAATCGATCGGTTCGGATTGGATTTTGGATAAATTTTTCAAAATCGATTCAAACCAAACCGAACCGCATAAATATATTTTGATACTTATTTACTTTTTATTAGTATGACATGTTATGTGAATTTATTATTAGATGATAATAATTTTTTTAATAATATTTATTAGTTTGGTATAATCTATTTATTTTTATTATTTCAAGCATAATCAATCACTCTCATTTTGTAATATTAACTTTTAATATACTATATGTTATATATTATATCAAATCTATGATTTATTAGTAGTTTTATAATATTAATAAAAATATAATGTGTAATTTGGATATCCAAAAACCGATTCAAATTAAACCGCATAAAATTGGATCGGATCAGATTGGATTTTTTTAAATATATCATCCAAAACCGAACCGAACCTTAAGTGAATTAATCTTTGGATCGGATGAGTTTTTGCTTTAAAACCGATCCAAATCGAACTGCGAACACCCCTACTAAAGGTTATTATTGATATTTATTATTTTTCTTATAAGGGAAAAAGTGGACATATTGGTTTGTGTTAATGTTGGATATGATATATTAGCTAAATTATTAATTCTATGAAACTGCTATCTATCTCATTTTATTATAAAAATAAAACTGCAGAGCTATCTATGTTTTGTACATTTGATTCGTATTATGAATTTGTGACTCATGATTGTTGGAAATTTATCAGAGAATAAATAATATTTGAGGGAATTCGTTTATAAATAAAAGCTGATGGTCTAGTGATTGGGCATTTGGCATTTGTGGGGATGTTCTTGGGTTCAAATGTCATTGAGACTTGTTTTTTGAGATAATTTCTAGCTTATACAAGGTCCAACATGACAACTTGTTTACAACCACTTTGAATTGGCCACGTAGGTCAAAGAGACAGAATCTTAGACTGCATCAAGGTTTTTTCAGATGGAATCTAGAAATGTTGAGGGGGGAATCATAATTTTTTTCTTAAGGGGGGAGGGGGTAAATCAAATCTCGCTACTATTTTATTTGTGTATAAGAAAGGGGAAAGTAATTTGAAGAAAGATGATAGAAGAAAAGCTTAACTTTATTAATTTGAATTGGAATCTAGGTATATAGATAATATAGTAATGTAACCTCTAATCAAACTTTTAAATTTGTTTTAATCACCTTGATTGAGGTGTTCAATATTTATTCACTATTGATTATTTGATAACTACATTGTTTTTTTATTTTAAAAAAAATCAAAAAATGAGAAAATTGTTATTAAAGTAATACTAATGAATATTTTGCATTGTGACGAGAATTAAACTTTGTTCTTTAAGGTTTTTAAATTAAACCTTACCATAAAATATCTTAAAAATTTTAATTTATTTTGTCTAAGTAGTTCTCGATGGTTAAGAGTCTCACATCTAGCAATATATGACCTGAACTTGTCCATAGTCCTTATAAGTATGGACAATTCTTACCCAACAAACCAAATTTACAGGAATTAGTTAGACTCAACCCCACTTTCTTAATAATAATTAAAAGAAAAATGCAAACAAGAAAGCTCAATGTCCCAACTATTCTTTCTCTTTATATAAATTAATAAAATATGAATGAATATTAGGTTTTTTATGGTTCACCAATTATACTAATCTCAACCTTTTTTCTCGTACTTTCATTAGTAAAAAGCTATTAATCTAAAAACTTTAAGCCCAAATATAGCAATTACACCTGAAAAATTATAGTGTTTGTATATCTGTACTCTCACCTAAAAAAGCGTTGCGCTATTGGTTTTGATTTATTTCTAAACCAGTAGAACATTTCAAATGATAAAAAACCACTTCTCTTCAATTTTTCACTTTTGAGATTTTTGATTCCACCCTCAAGTCTCCCTCTTCTTGGTTGGTTTCTTCCTCCCACAACAATTAAAAAAAAAACAACCAACCAAGAAGCATGTGCATCTCTTGTTTTGCATGACTTCTCTCTCCCATTCACCATTTTTTATTTATGTTTTCTTCACTCTCCTTCATGCATGGTCTTAATAAGGTTTTTTGTTTCAACATTAGTTGGAGCTAGGCCTATTAAGCCATGTTGTGATTAATTTTAAATTTTTTATATATTAAGGTAGGTTTTGTTTTTTCACTTGTTTTTCCAACTCATTTACATTGATTAATAAATTTTAGGGTTCCATTAATTATTTGTTGTTAAATAGATAATCGATCGAATGGTACAAAGAAGATTTCTAATGTGATAATTTGATTTGCAGGAAGATAATTTTTGTTGGTTTTATTGAAGATTTAAGCATCAACATTGAACACCTAGGGTTTTTGGTACAAATATATCAACAAGAGCTTCTTTTCTTATAATTAATGTCGACTAAGGTGAAAGGTCTTCTTAAAGGACTTAGATACATTTCTCAAATATTTGGTAAGTAACATAATCTCTTTTCTCATATAAATTTTAAATGAAAATTAAAAAATCATGAATTATCTTCCTCCATGCATGGATTTTATTAAACATCTTCAAGTTTAATTTTTTTTAATTTATTTGTATTTTGTGCATGTATAAGAAAGGGGAAAGTAATTTGAAGAAAGATAATAGGAGAAGAGCTTAACTTTATTAATTTGAATTAGGATTCAGGTATATAAATAATATAGTAATGAAACCTCTAATCAAACTTTTAAATTTGTTTTAATCACCTTGATTGAGGTATTCAATTTTAATTAATTATTGATTATTTGATAACTAGATTATTTTTTATTAAATAAATCAAAAAAATGAGAAAAGTATTATTAAAGTAATACTAATGAATATTTTGCATTGTGACGAGAATTAAAATTTATTCTTTAAAGTTATTAAATTAAACCTTACCACAGAATATCTTAAAACCCCTAATTTATTTTGTCTAAGTAGTTCTCGATGGTTAAGAGTCTCATATCTAGCAATTTATGGCCTGAATTTGTTCTTATAAGTATGGACAATCTTTATCCAACAAATCAATTTTATAGGAATGAGTTAGACTCAACCTCACTTTCTTAATAATAATTAAAAGAAAAATTCAAACAAGAAAGCTCAATGTCCAAATAATCTTTCTCTTTATATAAACTAATAAAATATGAATGAATATTAGGTTTTTTATGATTCACCAATTATACTAATCTCAACCTTTTTTCTCGCACTTTCATTAGTAAAAAACTATTTATCAAAAAAATTTAAGCCCAAATATAGCAATTACACTTGAAAAATTATAGTGTTGTATATCTGTACTCTCACTTAAAAAAGCATTGAGCTATTGGTTTTGATTTGTTTCTAAACCGGTAGAACATTTTGAATGATCAAAAACTACTTCTCTTCAATTTTTCACTTTTGAGATTTTTGATTCCACCCTCAAGTCTCCCTCTTCTTGGTTGGTTTCTTCCTCCCACAACAATTAAAAAAAAAAAAAAACCAACCAACCAAGAAGCATGTTCATCTCTTGTTTTGCATGACTTATCTCTCCCATTCATCCTTTTTTATTTATGTTTTCTTCACTCTTCTTCATGCATGGTCTTAATAAGGTTTTTTGTTTCAACATTAGTTGGAGCTAGGCCTATTAAGCCATGTTATGATTAATTTTAAATTTTTTATATATCAAGGTAGGTTTTATTTTTTCACTTGTTTTTCCAACTCATTTACATTGATAAATAAATTTTAAGGTTCCATTAATTATTTGTAATGGTACAAAGAAGATTTTTAATGTGATAATTTGATTTGCAGGAAGATAATTTTTGTTGGTTTCATTGAAGATTGAAGCATCAATATTGAACACCTAGGGTTTTTGGTGGAAATATATCAACAAGAGCTTCTTTTCTTTTAATTAATGTCGACTAAGGTGAAGGGTCTTCTTAAAGGACTTAGATACATTTCTCAAATATTTGGTAAGTAACATAATCCCCTTTCTCATAGAAATTTTAAATGAAAATTAAGAAACTATGAATTATCTTCTTCAATGCATGGATTTTATTAAACATCTTCAAGTTTTTTTTTTTTTTATAATTTATTTATGTATTTTGTGCGTGTATAAGAAAGGGGAAAGTAATTTGAAGAAAGATGATAGAAGAAGAACTTAACTTTATTAATTTGAATTGGAATTCAGGCATATAAATAATATAGTAAAGTAACCTCTAATCAAACTTTTAAATTTATTTTAATTTTTATTCAATTTTGATTGAGGTATTCAATTTTTATTCACTATTGATTATTTGATAACTACATTATTTTTTTATTAAAAAAAATCAAAAAATGAAAAAATTGTTATTAAAGTAATACTAATGAATATTTTGCATTGTGACGAGAATTAAACTTTCGTTCTTTAAGGTTATTAAATTAAACCTTACCACGAAATATCTTTAAAACCCTAATTTATTTTGTCTAAGTAGTTCTCCGTAATTATGAAAAAGGATCTGCATCCATAATAAGAGACACATAATTTTAAATATTAGGATTTCTATTTCTTAATTCGTGTAAATAGATAGTTGAGAGGAAAGAATCTACCTTATATGATAATCAATCTTTTCTATTTCTATGTTGTCCTAATTTTTTAAATTTATAAAAATCACTACTATTGATATTTATATCTATCATATAGATTAAAAAGATCAATGATCCATTCAATGGTAAAAAGAAACCTTGAATAATTTCAAGAATTAAAAATTAATCAACATCATGTTTGTTTTAAAAGAATTCATGCCTGTGGTTAAATATGAAAATTATGAATTGTTAGGTGGTGAATAAATGTTAATGATTCTTTTGCAGAAGAGAAAGAAGATGAAATTCAAATTGGGTTCCCAACAGATGTAAAGCATGTGGCACATATTGGATCAGATGATCCATCAGCAAATGCACCTAGCTGGGTACATATTTTCATTAATCTATCATATCTTATCATTTAATTAGGTCTTAATTCTCTTTTATACAGCCTTATTAATTATGAGTGCATTTTGTAAACTTATGTAGATGAATGAGTATAAAGGAACAAATCCACCAGGAGCAATAAACGATACTGAAACGCCTGAAGGTTAGCATATATTTATCTTAACACAACATTTATTTCATAGATATACCCTCATTTGCATTAGACATTAGTCTATGCCAATGTATTTGGTGTTTGATACATACGAATTCGGATAATACATTGGTGTTTGATACATATGTGTGTCAAATTCGGACAATACATTGGTGTTTGATACATACGTGTGTCAAATTCAGACTATTATCCGACATCAACAGATATGTATCGTGTCAGTGTTATATTTGGTGATTGATACATACGTGTGTCAAATTTAAGTTATTGTCTGACATCAACACATATCACATGTGTATCGTGTCAGTGTCATATTTCATGTTGGTATAAATATATGTTGTGCTTACAATATTAACTATTAAGTGTTTTTTTGTTTGTTTGTAGAAGACAATAACAAATCCTTGAATTCAAAGGAAAAACCATCAAAGATTCGACATCTAATTCCAAAATCAAGACACCAGTCAATTGACACTGAAGCCAACTCAACAACCAAAAAACAAGCACGTCGGCATCTCCGATCATCGGATCCATCTGCAGAAACATCAGTAACTGATTCATCAGGTGGTTCTCGACATAGACGACATCGTCGCGGCTCAAACCACGACACTGATTCACAGTCAACAGATGTTCCGCCGACAGGCACCAAAGCCCATCGGAGAAAATCCAAGACTTCAGAAGATGGTTCTGTGCGAAAGCCATCTTCAAGAAGATCATCTAAAGGGGATTCATTAACCGATATCTCTCTTTCAGATTTTGGATCAGGGTCTGTACCAGAAATTGGAAACGAACCTAAATAGAATTTAAGTTTAAATAAATTTTAATTTAAATTGAGATGGGCGTGGGAGAGAAAATAAGAAGATGCTTGAATTGATTTATTTAAGTTTATCTAGTAACTAAGTATAAGGGACAGTGTTTGAAGAAGCTTATGAAAACAACTTATAATATATTTATAAGATGTCTTTAGCTTATTTTCATAAGTTCTCTAGAGTAGCTTATGAAAATAACTTATAGATTACACAAAAATTTGGGATATAGAAATATCTTATTCATAAGCATTTAAAAAGAAAAAACTCTTTATTCAAAGAGGGTCTAAATGTTGTTGTTGTTCTAATTAATCACAAATATTAGGGAGAGAATAATCAAAAGTAATTGTTTGCTTTGCAAGTTGTAAATTACATATATTTTTGATACAATGTTTATTTCACTTTTAAATTTTAATATCAATATTATTTTCTACTTTCAAGTGTGACAACACTATAATAAATAATATGTTTTATGATAAATTTTTCACTAGTTAATTAACAACTGAGGTATGAATTATAGACTTGTTTGATAAGTGTTAAAAAAATACATAAATACATAAATACATATGTGATTATTGGATTATTTTACAAGCAATCAATGAATTTTTTTCCCAAATTTTCAGGAAAATAAGATAAAAGGCATGTATGAGCTTTTTAACTAAGTACAACAAAAAAAAATCTCGTTAAGTCAACTCAATTGGTAGTTGTGCAGAGACATCAGATGCAGGATAGCAGGTTCAAACGCACGACATCCAACTTGTTAATATTTAAAGGGTGAACTCCAGTCACTAGACTACTTGACCAAAAATAATTGCAGACAAAAAGTACCAAGACATCACCTAAAAAGGACAAAATACACCATTCAAGCAAAAATTGGCTAGCCAAGAAAAGCTGGCTAAGGCAGAAAAAGATGGTTAAGCCAAGAAACTACCTAAGCCTGAAAAAGATGGCTAAGCCAAGGAGAGCACTAAGCCAGAAAAAGCTAGCTAAGCCAAGGCGCGCTAAGTGAGCTCGAACGCGATGAGGCGGTCAAAAACCACTGGGATGATTTGGTGTAAATTCATGGCGAAGTAAGGGTTTGCTCTCTAAGTGAAAGGGTGGTGTACTGAGTGAGATAAGGAGGCTATGGCTAATTGGCATTGTCTAACCAATAAGAAAGCAAGCTCATTAGTTGAAGGAAAGGTGCACCCAACTAAAGCCCCTGATCAACACCTATAAATAGGGGTCTATAGTTCAATTCTATGGGAGATTCGGTGGAGTGAGGTAATACATAATTGAAGTATGTTCACCTTGGTCTACAATAGGAAAATAAGAGAGTTAGCTTGAAGACGATATTATATGTACAACTATGACGAGTAAGCAAAGCTACAAATCTCTTTGTTTAGGGTTAAACGTAGTCATTGTGTTGTAAATTGAATATTCAGTGAAATGCTTGAGTTACAAAGCACTCAAGTGATTTGATTATATACACTCAAGAGAGTAATTACAAGATAAGATTGAAGTTATTTCCTAGGTACATGAATGTAATTTACAAGGCATAGATTCCTAGACTCCTAGATACATGAACATGCTCATAAATATAGAATGATAATTCCAATAATTTATAATTCCAATAATTGGAATAATTCCAATAATTCCAACACTCCCCCTCAAGCTCAAGAATATATATCAATCATTCCCAACTTACAAGTTAATTGATTGAAATGATCAGGTGACAGGCCCTTTGTCAACACATCTTCTAGTTGATGTCCAAAAGGAATATAAGATGTAGCTATTAAACCACTGTTGTACCCCAAAATTTGCCCTCCCATATTCTTCAAAGATTTGCCAAGTCAAGCTTCAAAATTCCCCAAGGGCTGCATAGTCAAAGATCTTCCATACAGTCAAAATTAGGGTTTGAGTCTGATCAAGAAAAGGAAGTTTTCAAAGGCCCAATCAAGTCTCACATGCCTACAAATATGGTCAAGCATCCTCATATCAAGTTTCAAGGCATTCAGCTCAAAATTGCACAGTCAAAAAACCTAATTGCACTACAGTCAACTGTAGGGGCAAAATGGTCATTTGACAGTCAAAAGTTCAAATTTTTGGTCAACATATCATTTTGAAGCCACAAACATCATTTGATCAATGCTTGATCATGATTCTCAAAATTTGGCTCAGAAATCATCAAGATGCAAAAAGTTTCCTTATTTGGACAGTTGAAAAAGTCAACTGAAATTGACCAGGGCATAACTTTCACATGGATTATCAGAAAAATTCCATCCAAAGCTCATTTTGAAGAGCAAGACATTTCCTACAACTCATCTTCATACTTCAAGTCCAAGGAATGCTCTCACAAAAAGTTATCAATTTCAACATTATAGGTCATTTTCAAAAGTCAACAAAAAGGGACTTTAAGTCAAAGGCCATAATTTGAGATTGGTAAATCAAAATGACATGGGACCAAAGGCATTGGTTAGAGGACTCAAAGATCTTTCCAAAATGTCCAAGAACATGATAGAAGCTTAAAAATTGAGCAAGTTGTGCCTTGTGGAAGTTGGGAAATTTTTGGGTATTTTGAAAAGTCAACATTACTTCAAATGACCTAAAATTGCTAATGGGCCCATTTTTCTTCCACAATTTATCATTCTAAGCATGTGCACGACCACTTGGCCCAAAGGGAAGTATTTTCTCATTTTTTATTTATTTATTTGAATTTTTATTTATATTAATTCATTTAAATCAATTAAATATGTGAAAAATACTTAACTTAACCTAATAAATCTTTTTGCACATGTTTTAAACTCAATAATTCGTGCACATTCAAATATGGGAAGATTTGGTTTGATTGGATCCTAATTGACACAAAATTGCATGGAAAAAGATATGAAAAAGATCCTTAAAATCAAATTTTCAAAAACCATCATTGCATTGGATTTGTTCTACTTTTCTTGACCTAATTCACTCAATATAAATGCCTGATCACAACCCTAATGAGAATACACACTAAGCTGCGCAAAAGAACACAAAGCAAACTTGAAATTTTTCTCCACAAAGTCAATTCTGAAAACATCCTTCCAGGACGATTCAAGAGATAATTCTTGTTCCAATAGCTTCCTCAAGCATCCCTGGACATATTCCAATCACAAACATTCATCCCAGCTTCAAGAATTGGTAACATGAGTGCCAACTGTATCAAGAAAAACTAATAATCGTACATCACGATTCATGCATCCTTTATAGTTTTTAATGCTTGATTTACATTCCTTGTGAAGTTCTGAAGCTAACCAATATGATTAATTGCATTTTTATGTTGTGTACGCGATTATGCCATGTTTATGTTCTAGGGTTTGCAGGACCTCAAAATTAGGGGTTTTTCAATGGAGAAAAATTAGCTCTCAAGAGTACCATGGTTGTAATCAGCAAGTCTGGACGAATGGAAACCAACACTCGCGCTTAATTTATGAACACTATAGGCCTAATCGCTATTTTCTCAAAACTAACCTTAAACAACGCATAAAAAACCGTTGCTCAATGTTTTTGTACTTCAGGGATGATGAAGAAGATGAGTCCGTGGCACACGCTGACTGGCTTGTTTAAATTTCGCGCGCTAACCACCACTAACCGTTACTTTCTTATTATATTGTTCTTGGATTATTTAATATACAGATAAGCAAATTGGCACGGTTGGCAAGCGCGTTGGCTGGTGAAGTGTATGACCTGGGTTCGAGCCCCAGGTCTACGTTTATTTCCATATTATTTTGCAAAACATGTTCATGTGTAGTTTCAAAAGTGAAGCGCATCATACACGCTCAAAGATCAACGTCCATCTGGCCAGGCTCATCAGATCAATGGCTATGGATTGGGGAGCACCATAAACCCTAGTCAACGCATATGTACGTGTCATGCAAAAAGTCAAAAGGGCCATGCTCAGTGGGCCTGAATTGCTTGGATTTAACCTCCCATTTGGGGTCTGAACCCCCTAGGTTTGCCAATTTATTTTCTTTCTCCTTTATTTTTTATTTATACTTTCTTTTAAATTCTTGCTTTATTAATTAAATTAATTATTTTCATAAACATAAAAATACACAAAAAAAATCAGAAAAGAGAAAAAAACAATAAATATTTTTATTTTAATATTTTCTTGTAAATAAATGCATGTAAATTAATTAGTTTAAAATAGGGTTTTAACTTTAATTTCTTTCATGACAAAAATCCAAAAAAATATAGAACTAGGTTTAATAAATGTTTTATTCTTTTTAATTTTTCTTTTTTCACAATAATATTATTTATTTTATTTATTTTCATAATTAAAATTGTATATAAGAATTAGGGTTAACTTAGGTTAAATTCTAATGTTTTCTCAATAAACTAAAATGACTAGAATTAGGGTTTGCGTCGTATTTTGATTAATTCTTTTTCTATTAAATCTTAAAACATCAAAAACACCAAAAAAACAAATTCTTGCTTTCTTTTAATTTTAATTTTAATTCCTCATTAATTTTAATTTTTGCAAAAGGGTCCAACGCCCTCGTTTCGATTTAAATTCGCATATTTATTTTATTTTGCTTAAACAATTATGTACCTCTCCCGAAGCCTTGTAATTACTTCTCGCACTTTTAATTTCTTTATTTTCCGTCAAATCGGGTCCTGGTTAATTTTGGCGATGTGGACCCGCGCCATTTGTAATAGTTTAGATTTTTACATTCCCGCAATATTTTCAACTGTTAATCAAAAACATGAAAGAATGTATGTCAAAATAAAAACAAGCGTAGAACACCAATAAACATGACAAGATAAATGCAAATGAACATGACACACGAATCGCACACACCACCCCTAGGGTACGCCTCACTGTTGCCTTGCCTCGAAAGGTGATCGTCGAGTAGAGGATATCTTAGTAAGTCCTCACGATCCGGGAACCTGGCATGAGGGTAGCTTCTAAGGTGTCTTCCCATTGCTCTGGTGATCACCATGTCCCAAACCTCGAATTGACCCGAACACCTCCAATGGTG